CAACATAGTGAAATAAGACTATGATATTTAAATAAATATTTTTGGAAAGACACAATACGCTTTAAGTGCTTAATTAATAGAATCAGAAGGTTCTTACGCAATTAAGTCTGAGAAACCACAGCAATCTGGAATCGCACGAAGGACAAAAGCTTCGATCTGGCACAAGAAAATTCCCCCATAGAAACAAACCATCATTCAACTTGAAAAACTTGATAATGAAATCAGGTTATACCATGAAAGGATGATGAGAAAGGGTGCAGGCTTCAGATCTTAGAGTGTTTAAACACATCTGTTACAGTTCGTTCGTTTGGTAGAGTTTCTGTAGTTATTTTTGCATGGCAACACGAACGGAAGATGTGTCATTGACAAGACCTTTTGAGCCATTTCGAAGTGCATCTCTACAAGAGTGTCGCAAGCTCTACGCCTAGTGCCTGCTATATCTACTTCAATTGTGATATGAAACAATGGCAATCACCGATGCTCTCCGTCACGAACTAATCGCAGGATGATATCACATAACTCAAATTGCATATAATTGAGCAAACGCCTCATTTTGTTATTCAAACCGAACTATTTTAACCTGTAGTTACTTGGTGATGTACAGACGCCTGTAGTACTATTAAACTATCTTCCACTATATTGACTTGGTATCGTAAGTTCCGCGTTAAATTCCAATTCCAAAAATTATTTTTTTGTTTTCCAAAAAAACCTTGTTCACTAGGACAAGGTTACAGTGATGACGATATAAGTAAAAACTCGGGATAATCTTATGTAGATATTTAAAATCTACGAACTATGATTCTGAAAACCGCAATTTGACGCAATAGGCAATATTAACTCGAACGCATGATAATGCAATAAACAAACTTAACTGTGTGAGAGAGAAGATGTGTTCTGGGAACTATACAACAGGAAAACTTCAATATCCGTCGGTTTGGTAAAGCATGACGCTGCGTCGACCTTTACACCTACACTCACATTTCTTAGAATCTTTAAACCAGACATCGACTGTACATGAACTCCCAAAAAATCATTGACCGACCAATGTTATGTGCGTACTTCGAAAACATGTTATATTATTATCTCCAGTGCCGTCAAGTATCCAAACAAAGGCTGATTTTACTATGAATGAACATGATTCTGTTTTTAAACATAGCTGAGATTTGCTGTAGATGAAGCTGAGGTGTATTTATAAATTAGGTTCTGTCATTACATTCGGTTTTATTTGACAAGTACCGGTTCATAAACTTTATTTTACTGCAATACTTCCATATGTCACTGCAACGTCCATTTAAATTCCTGATTCTAAAACTGTACCTCAGTATTTCATCGCCGGTTGTAAAATCAATTTAAACTTGCCTTGGCTTGAATAGCTAGCCTATAGGCACAGCAAATAAATAACTAGAATCCTGCAACAGGAATGCATGAGGGAATCAAAAATAGGTAAAGCAGAAGTAAATTGTCCTACAATTTTTCTTCTTCTATTATTTAGTTCCAACGAATATAATCTTTGAATACTCACCGTTAGTACACAGATAGCTGCTCTGATGTTCATACACATTTGATTGACAGAAGTTGAACTTTACGTGTGAATGAAATAGGTGACGTCACGTCAGACTACGCATTTTTGTCGCAATATCGGGTCTATTACAACTGAAGAAGATACCCCAGTGATTAGCTTGACATGTCGTTTGTACGAATTCCTGATCAACGGGACTATTCCCACCTCTCGTTCCCACCACCAACTCCTGTGTAGCCAGGATCTACAGCTTGACCGTCAACAAAAACCCAACCAGTGAAGGTTATTAGTTATGGTTAATTCCTGATCAGCTATCTGTGGAAGCGTGCCCGGTCAGGGTCCAAATATGACCATTGCCAGTGAGCATTTCGCTCAGACAACCTTGCCCGTCTGTCGCACGCAGTTTGATGCAATGCTATTGTTGGACCACTGTTGCACAACCTAACCTGAACCACACTCATTACATGTCAGCAACTGTTGATACATTATAACGGGCTGTCACCCGTCTATGTGTGTGACATTATACACGGACCATCAAGAAGATAGTTAACTCTTGAATAGTTAATGTTTGACGGCTCTCGGAAATGTAAATTTTGCCGGAACTGCTACATTAACATTATTATTCTAACGTTCCTCTTCATGTTTAAAAACTGGAATTTGACCTCGACTTCGCTCGAGACCGGATCAGTAACGCCAATTATCACCTCTAACAAACAAACATTTTTACAACTTAACTTTTCGTGAATATTGGTTTCCAAAGTAGAGCCACAATTTTAATGATTACATTAAGCTCCAATCAACGGGACTATCTATCGAACCGTTACCTAACATAGTGTTATATTGTCAAAATGGGTTCACGTGATTTTGGAGAAATTCAATAACAAAAATGAACAGAGTTGTCACGAACCAGCGCTTCAAGTCTAGAATAGCAAGTGGAATAACATGTACAAATACACGTTATTATTACTAACGCGTGCGCTGGATAGAGAACCTGCTTCTTTTAGTCGGTTAAAAGTTACTAGAGGCATTTGATATTAAGATCATAGACATCCAGCTCGCTCATCAAAATTCATGACATTTAGATGACTTGTTTGTTTTCCGATGCGCTATTTTCGGGAAAGGTCAGAGCACAGTATTATTTTACCCCCAACGCGGTACATGAGCAAACTTAAGTATACTGCATACAGCATAGTGTCTCAATTTTGCTGTCTAACTCTACCTAGTTTGAAGTTGATTTCAATGCCGAACTATTGTGATTTAGTCGTACTTTGAGTTCAAACTTGAACTTTCTTAAATTTCAAAACGGTGTACAGCTAAACAACGCCTAAAGGACGTCTCGATATGTGACAAAATCATGATTCATTGTTCGCACGGGCTAATGTTAGCGGCGCTACAGTGCGCCGGCCTCCTGTCTCGCCCGTGCGACGATTGAATACCGAGTACGTTTCATTCGCGAGCGTTGACTCATCAAACCCTCTACAGTTCCACGATAGTCCCTGTGACAAATATTAATGCTTGTATTTATACAGGCTGGCAAATAGTCGCCTGCAATATTGTAGAGTGCGATTGTGCTCATCTAAATGAACCACACCACTAGATGTAATATTTTTTTAATCCTAACATTATCATTGAAATATACTTCTTACTTTGCGGGATATGACCATCTACTAGGACTATTCCCACCTCTCGTTCTCACCGCTTCAACTCCTGTGTAGCCAGGATCTAAAGCTTGACCGCCAATAAATCCCAACCAGTGAAGGTCAAGTTTGTCCCTGGGGAAAGTAAAACTGTCGTTGGACCCGCAACGAAATTAATCAGAAGAACATAGAAGTTCGAAGTTAAGGTTCGACTTCCCTCCATTGCAAATTGCAAAGCATAGGGGAGCAATATGACGTATGAATAAATCTAGAACAATTAGTGTTCACGTGTGACAGTGATGGGGGAAGCCTGGTTTCCTTAATTGCCCTATATTGCCGTGACTCATAAAACAATATTGCCCTGAATTGAGCTCTATAATTGCCATTGTAACCGCACCTTTAAAGTCTGTTAATAAAACAAATTGGATGGATTGGAGCTCGTAGAGTTTAAAATGTAATTAACCAAGACATCTTTTTAAACCAATAAACAATGTAGAGTCGTTATTTACTAAAGTGAAATATAAAAGAATTTTAAGACGGGTTTAGTTATTGATTACAGAAATTCATCGCCAAAGGCTCTCGTCGAATGGCAAGACAGATATGTATTAAAGTGTCTATTTCTTTTACACAATGATTGATGGCCTACGAAATATAAAAGGAAAGTGGCGAGCTAGACTCGATCTAGGATTAAAAAATTGCTAAAATATGTTTTCAGACATGACGAATATTAAGCAAAATGCTTTTATAACCCTTTCAGTTTTGCATATTTTTACTCATCATCATCATCATTTCAGCCATAGGACGTCCACTGCTGAACATAGGCCTCCCCCAATGCTTTCCATGTTGATCGATTGGTAGCGGCCTGCGTCCAGCGCTTCCCTGCTACCTTTACGATGTCGTCGGTCCACCTTATAGGTGGACGTCCCACGCTGCGTTTTCCGGCAATATTTTTACTTAACTTCAGAAAATAGACTTTTATAAATCTGTTAGTGTAACTTTAAGTAGTTTAGTCTAGGTACTGAATATTTGTGTTAAGTTTTCTAAAGAAGAACGGTCACGCCCCATACAAAAAAAACCCAGACCCGACAGAAACGAGACATATTTCAGTTTTTTTGTCATGTCTTAATTAGTTAAATTATATATTTTTTATATTCGAAATCTATACCATATAACACCAAAATATTACCATTTGTTTTTGTTCAGGCGTTATACAAAAACTAATACAAAATGCCTATTTATCACCAAAATTGGTAAATGTATGTACCTAAATGTCTATTACAGCTGCTATGGAATGTATCTGGGTGACCTGAAGATACAGCCGGATTATACAGGGTGGTTATACATATGGAACGATAAGTGATCTCACTCGATTATTTCTAAACTATACAAGATATCGAAAAACTAGTTACTGATTCTGAAAGTGCTTCACGAGCTCTTTCAAATGGTACCAATAATACAGATTATGGAAGCTGGTAACATTGAATTTTTGGATTTTGTAACTTCTCGTTTCCACCCTATATAATCCGGCTGTATCTCCAGGTCACCTAGATACATTCCATAGCAGGTGTAATAGACATTTAGGTACATACATTTACCAATTTTGGTGATAAATAGGCATTTTGTATTAGTTTTTGTATAACGCCTGAACAAAAACAAAGAGTAATATTTTGGTGTTATACATAGATTTCGAATATAAAAAATACATAATTTAACTAATTAAGACATGACAAAAAAACTGAGGTATGTCTCGTTTCTGTCGGGCCTGGGTCACAGATGACCGTTCTTCTTTCATGAAAATAGTAAAATTTTTGCAAGTTTTCTCAATAATTTTCTCTTCTTTCCAGATGGTACTTCCGCAAAATAAAACGAATCGAAGCAGAGAAGAAGCTGCTTCTGCCAGAAAACGAACACGGCGCTTTCCTCATACGAGACTCGGAGAGCCGCCACAACGACTTCTCGCTATCAGGTAACCAGACATTTATCTTGCTCGTAATTGATTCTTCAGTTTATAACTCGTCAGTGCCCATTAATTTAGATAAGAACTATCAATAACCCGTAAGACAGTGCATAGATGCGATGTTTAAAGACTAAAAAAGAGATCGAATGCGAACGCGGAATAAAAATAGCTAAACAATGTGTGGTTATCATAAGAACAGATAAAAATTATAATGGCATAATTTCGAAATTTTAGATATAGATTTTTATCTTTTTAAAAGCCCAACTGTCCGATTAGCAAAACTATTAAGTACTTATACTAACTAATTATCACGTGACGTATACGGGCCGGGTATGTACATTATTTTATTGTACATAGTCATTCTATGAGACCACGACCCGCACATGCACCAACTTGTGTCTCATACATAAATATGTGGCACATACGGGCACCACGCCCCGCACAGTTCAGCGACAGTGTGAATGTACCTTAATCTTATCCATCGAGCCATAAACTATTTAAATCCAAGATCGATGGTAAAAGTCATCTGTCGACATGCCAAAGAGTTGTTGAACATCAACATAGTGAATTTATTAAGTCCACAAAAAAGTATGATACTGAAAAATTAAAAAATACACTTTCCAAATTTTGATAACTGGCGACACAACAGCTGGTTTCACTAAATAAAACCGCAACGCGCTATGAGAACTATAGGTTCCGATCATCATATAAAGTTTGCTTCGAAACTATACTAAAGAAATGCATCCAAAGCCCCAGTTGCTCCGTATGACAAACCGGTTGTGCTTTTTCTAAACACACCGCGTGGGAACAAAGGTTGAACTCGCCGTTTGATATCCCATACTAATTACGATTCTCCATTGGACCGGCCGTACCGTTAGTCTATTTATACAAATTGAATGAGCCACTGCTAATTTATTATGTGCATAAACACATGTTACTTATGTCTGACGCGACTTTGCACAATGTTAACCCTTCGCTGAACTGCGGTTGTTAATCGACAGACAAAACGATTTGTCTTCTGAGCTTGCTTGGAGTGGGTATTACCATAACAATGTCATGTCGAACCAAATATAAATTACTAGATACTTAGTTTACTTCTGAGATGAAAAAGCAGTGGATGGGTAAGCTTTTACGTCTTACACTTTGAGAAAAATCGAATCATTTGCGTTACTTGATTGACGGCACTTTCTTGAAGGCATTTATAAACCACGGTACATGAAAAAACTAAGCCACATGTTTATGACCATTCAAAACAATAGTCGTAGCACTGAAACCATGTATTTTAGGTTTTCGTACACCCAAATCGAATCACAGTGTTGCACAAAGCCAGCTTGTCTAATTTAGACTTCCGTTATGTGTATGAAAAACAACAATGGTTGACGTCCATCGACGTTTTTTTGTCGTTTATTCAAAGCACTAAGCGGAACTTAGGCTATTTTTACGTCGAAAAAACTTCACTGGAAACGTCTTGAAAGCAGGTTAAACCAGACTCCCGCAGCCGTCGCAAAAAATTAAAGTCATTTAATGACGTACACTTTGCGCAATCACGTCATCACCGGTAAAAACCGTTCAATTTAAACTGAAACAGTAAACTAGATCTTGTAAGCGGAACGAAAAAATATAGGAAAGCATATGCAATTAACTTTGAATACAATACCTATCGACTGTTTTTCCTACTATTGCTGCTGCACTATAATGGAACTATTATCCGTTTCAATAAAAAACTCCAGACTGATTTAGTTTGCTTTAGAGTCCATAGAATAGCACGTGGATTTTCCTTGGGCTGTTGCTATTTCTATTTTTCCTGAGTAATTATTGTTCTTCATCTAGCCTTGTTTTAGCTAAAGGGATGACATCTTTATACCGCAATAAAGTGTTTTTTTTTACCGCCACCATAAATTTACTGAAACAGAACATTAATTCATATTTACAACTTTCAAGAAAAAGATCTTTATGAAATACAGAAAAGATTTCACAATTAGCCAACCCAACCCATAAGTGAAGCGTATGCCTCATCATTATTATTGCTCCAAAGGCACAGCAAAACATCAACACCTTAATAGCATATAAAACGCATTTTAATGAAGTACTGAACATTATAGTTCAACTAAGAGCTCATTAAATCGATGGAATTTAATGTTTTCGTATTTTCATGTCACGATTTCCATATTTTCTGCCTTTTTGTACTTTTGCTTATGAAAAATTTTATTAAAATCATTTACGCTTTTCTTATAATTGGATCAAAGCAAACGTTTATTGCAATTTTAAATTGATGCGTCGTTGTTTTTTTTTCAACCATTCTCATTTGACTCGCATGCATAATCTCGGAAATAAATGTGTTCAGCGATTGCACATAAATTCTTGGAGTGCGTTGCATCATTGCATTAACATAACTAGAGCAGCCCATCTACTCTGCAGTCCATACTGTATCATTTTCCGTGCTACCACTATTTACCTTACCATGGGATAAGGTAAGGCACCATGATGAGGTGTGTTGCGTAATTTCTGTACTTACTGGAATGTGGACTGTACCTACGTATGACAAACTTCCATCTAATTAGACTACACTAGCCTTGTGTTATACCCGCACAACATTACTATAAGGAAATCGTATCTATCGATTGTATCGATCCACTCATTAATGAATTGTTTGATAACTCGAACAAATTCCAAGAACGGGCTCGTAACATTCGAACCAATTTGTTGGATCTCTAGAGCGTAATTCAACACGAGTCTATGTACAAAAAGGTAGAAGTTTCTAACTCAGTTGCCAGGACGTAAATTCAATTTTCATATCATAAGAAACATTATAGACGGCCATAGTTGGAAAACAAATTGTAGATGTATAAGCAACGCCTGCAGTTTCCTCGTGTTAGGCTGTCGCTTGTCTTGTTAGCAATTTTAGTATCTAGTACCATTTCCTGTTAACTAATTGTAAACATTGTAATTATGTGCCATATCCGACATTAGATTACTGAATGATGTTTAAAAACACACCTAAATAGTAAATGGTAAGCTTGGAATTGCATAATGTTTTAAGGTTAATAATACAGAAAAAAACGCGTCCATAGCTACAGGGTTAAGTGTTGCTATTACCATAGAATATTCAATGAGAAGATGCGGCAATGAGAATGATTCATAATCGCATTCTCCTTCGCGACAGCGATTCCAGGCACCATTGTAACAGCTCTCTAACTATAAACATAACAATAAAAATCTCGTTGAAATGGTCTTCAGGTGACATGAAACCGGTCAGAGATAGTAAAAGTAGTCTTAAGTCAGTCATTGAGCCCAAATTATTCGGCGTCTTAACCTACAAGAAGTACTAGGCTGTTTTACTTTATCTCTTGTGTTGTGTCATTTTAGAGTAGGCGCACACCGTTGATTTTTCGTTGGCCGATAGTTTAGTCGGGCAGTTGATCAGTATGGGCATGTATGGGAGTGCGCACACTACGCCGATTCAATTTGGCCGATTCTTCATACAAATTAAAATCGGGCACAACTAACGGCCAACTAAAAATCAACGGTGTGCGCCTACTCTTACAAACTATCTTAATGCTGTTTCTCTCGTGTTCTATTGTAATACTGTTAATTTCAATTACTGTGTTCACACATCTATCTCTACCGACATGGTTTCAAGAGACGTTTGCTCACAACAACACTCAAAGTATGACGGTTGTACCAAATCGGCATACGCAACTACTAAGTAAAAGGCGTATCGGTGATGAGCACGCTACCAGTGTTAACAGAATAAGTTTAATTACTTACTTCTCTAACAAGTTGTACATGTAACATGCTTCTGGGCGATATTTTAAATCAAGTTAATTGACAAGCGTACCTTATGTAAAATATTATGTGTTAAATTACAACTTTTCGATTGTACCAAGTGTCTTTTGTTAAACCGTGGACTGACTAATACTATTAACGTGGCTAAACTACAAAGGTTCTTTATTATATTACTACGAAACCCTTAAAAGCACATCGATACCTGCATCGCTTTCTAGCTTTTAAAAGGCTGCGTAAAGTATTGATGCACATATACGTGGAATGTATACTATAAAACACGGCAAAAGAGAGACCGGTTTCCGTGGGAACCCTGTCGAGCTGTACCTTATATTTTACGATATTTTTGGAAAGTAAGACTCACTGTCACTATGAATTCGTTATACGTAATGGCATAAGGTAGCAGATGAAGGTGAAATAACGTCAGTAAACTTTAAATCAAGCAGTTTAATGTCGGGAAACGTTTACGGTGAATAGTTAAAATGGATCAATATAAAATAGTTTATGTTATCTCCTCAGAAACCTGCACGGATCATTGAATTCCCCGAGCGATGATCCCGTCGTATGCGACGATAAAATCCTCAATCTCCTTTACAATAGCGATGGCATAAATTTTCCAAAGACTTTCTCAGTGAACGAAAGTGAGTTTCCATTCATTCGCTTCGCTAACTGATCACAACAGCGATTCAATAATGATCACGCAATTATAATTTTTGCATCCATTTTATTTTTACAATCGATAGCGACTCTGAGTTTAATAAACATTATTTTCCAATTAAATGATAATGGATTGGATAGGTTTAATTTGTCAAACGTTTCTCCAATTTGTACCAACTGACGATATCATGACTAAGGTAGAGAAAAAATATGCATGGATGGATAAACGATTTCCATATTGACTTACGTAGTAAAAGCGTTATCGAATTTGCCTATTGACATCACAATCACAAGATTAAATTAATCCAGATTTAAATAATACTATTAGTGCAGAGTTTTTGCACGATAAGTATGTTCATGACACACCCGTTTGATTATACGTTTAAAATCCAATTAGTGATAAGAACATAACAAATCAGATATGTTTAATATGTTTATGTAGTACCTATTCAGTTCACTCTACCTTCTACGAATGACTTAAAAGCTAGTATAAATTTTACACACTACGTAAAAGTGTAATATACAGAACCGCAAATTCGTAATCGAATCAACACATGCACCGAATCCGAAAGAGGCCTCCAAGAATGTTCATCATCATCATCTCAACCGCTCAGCCATAGGACGTCTACTGCTGAACATAGGCCTCCCCCAATGCTTTCCATGTTGCCCGGTTGGTAGCGGCCTGCGTCCAGCGCCATCCTGCTTTACGAATTTTATGATGTCGTCGGTCCACCTTGTGACTGGAACCAAGACCTATGTTGGAAAATATAATTTCCCTAGCGCAAAGAGTTTTCTAATATCATCTAAGCTAAGTACATAATATCTATTTTGTAAATGTTGACACATTCACTAACCCCTAATCCGTATAATGGCACGGCATATTACGAGTATTACGACGTAGGTACTTGTGCCCGCCTACTACATATTTAATTAGCCACACTTCAATTCCAGTGAATCATTCTCACGTAGTTACTTATAATACCTTGTTACAACTAATTTATGAATAGAAAGCAATTTACTGCTATGCGATACATTCGAGCATTTTAAAATACAAGTTTTAAGTTATGTATAAAAGCCTTAGAAGTTTTAAGAGTGTTCTCATGTCGTTATCTTCTAAAAACAATATAAAGACCCGACTATTTATTCCACTAAATATTACACGTGTACTTATAAAAATGTTAACGCTACATTTTAAAACAGATATTCATGGAACGTGCGTAATAACCGTTAAATAAGACATGGCTGTCTATCTTTACATGTGTGTTTACCAAGTAACGATCCAAAAATATTCTTGAACAAGTGCGAGTCGGGCTCGCGCACAAAGGGTTCCGTAGCAGCAAATATAATAAACTTATTATGTCAATTTAATCAACCTATCTCAAAAACTATAAGAGATACTTTGATCAAACCAAAAATCGTTGAAAGAGTTAATTAGCATGCATCACCTCTATTTTTTTTAGAATTTTATACCCCGTAGTTATAAAAATAGAGGGGGGGGGACATACTTTTTACGACTTTGAGAGCTGATATCTCAAAAACCGTTCACTTTAAGAAAAATGTTTTTTAGAAAACTTTATATCATTTTAAAAGACCTTTCCATTGATACCCCACACGGGTATGTACATCGAAAAAAAATTTTCATCCCTCAGTTACATGTATGGGGGGCCCCACCCCCAATTCTTTTTTTTACTATTTAGTGTCATAATTTTGTAGCGGTTCATACAACACATATTCCCATCAAATTTCATCACTGTAGTACTTATAGTTTCCGAGTAAATCGGCTGTGACAGACGGACAGACGGACAGACGGACATGACGAAACTATAAGGGTTCCGTTTTTGCCATTTTGGCTACGGAACCCTAAAAACCTTTAAATTTTGCATTAATGTCGAGAGTTATTTAGTACACAATACACTGTTGGAACGCTGTAACATAATTTGGCGTTTTTCGTCCGCTCATGCATTCGCTACGCTACTTGCCATAATCTGTCGAAAATTGACAACTGAAAACGTGCCACAACTCGCCACAAGAATGTCTTCTGGACAATTTCATGTTTTGTGCAATAATAGAACAATCTCATCTGCACACTATTATTTTCTGACGGGTTAGCAAACGACGTTTTGCGTTCTATACCAAGAACTTAAAAATTGTAAACTTGAAAGCTCTTAGCGCACTGCTTCATATCGTAAAGACACACCATTTCGTCTCATGTACCTCTCTTATAACTGTGATGAAATAATTAAGAGATAATGGCCAATCGCATGCCAGACTTACAGTAAAAAGAAATTACTGTATTATTTTACAGCTAACGCTTTTCAGGCATGCTTTTTGCAATAACTTTTTGCTACAGTAACTAAACAGTCGTTTTGTGTGATGACGTAAATCCTCTTTATTTTAGTTTTCATAGCTGGTTGATCGATGTTTTGAAAAATCATGTCGATAGGAAATCCCTACTGCCATTTGACAATTTCACACGTGTGTGACGAAAGGGCTCAGAATTCTATTACAAGGCAAACGTTCAGTGTTGTCAGTCGTAATATTAATACTTGTATGTCTATTATTACCACAGAGCCCTCTCAGTAATCAATATTCAAAAACGCTCGGAGTTTTTGCTGTCCACAATGAGCAGTAAGCTCGCGTGACTGCGATTTGCCATGGCTCGTCCATACACCCGTCAAAATCGTCGTTTAAAATTTGCAACTGGTCAAATATGGCCGCAGATTGTTTTACGCAGTTCGATGTTTTTGTTTCATCACGGCTCGGGAAACTTCATTGTTTTACTGTTTTAGTATAGCAAACAAAGTAATTAAAATAGAAAAACGGCTATTATTGTCACTATAAAAATTGTTGGTTTTTGTTAACTGACGCCATTGCAGCAGGTTTGGTAAACACCAGTTAAGTAAGAAGATATAAATACGTGTTGTTGGTGTAACTTAACGGACTCAAATATTCAGTACGGTGAATCTAATTTGTTCTACCACTATCCTTCACAGTGGTCATCAGTGAAGTTTCTAGACGTCTTCTAATACTTCTTTTTGTCAACAGTGCGAGATGGCGACACCGTAAAGCATTACCGCATCAGACAACTGGACGAAGGCGGGTTCTTCATCGCGCGGCGCACCACATTCCGCACGCTGCAAGAGCTGGTGGAGCACTACAGCAAGGACGCCGACGGGCTCTGCGTCTCGCTCAGCAAGCCCTGCGTGCAGGTACGTGACGTCACACTATCGCAGCAGAATTGGACAGCGTAAAAAAGCACTGGTAGAATCCCTGGACGCGCTCTTAGTCTGGCTCTGTACCCTGCGTGCAGGTTAGTACCGTACCCTCGGCCGTGACGTCACACAGATTCAGACTCGCGTTGTGCATGAATAGAATCTACACTACATTCTGTTGAAGAACTGGTAGCGCCCTTCAGCAAGGAAGCTTACGAGTTCTGATCGCTCAGTGCAGGTAAAACCTCGGCGAAGATACCTTTGGCTCGAAAATCAGAAGCTAGACAACGTCATCGAATAAGTCTGAACAAAATATTATCCTGCTTTACCAAGGACTTTCTTATTAGTTGCGTTTTGATGGTTTTGACGTCATGCATTGTTAATTAGATGTAGAGTAGGAAGTAAGCAATACGATAAAATATAAGCTCTTAGTAAATTGATTAACCTCATAAAACGTTCTCCTTATTTAGTAAATATTGTCGACAGACTACTGATAAAAATCACGTGCAAGCCATTAATGAACTATCAAATTAAAATAATTCCTTTTCTAGTTGATTACATTGTTAACTAAGTAGAAATCTCGGGTAGTGTCAGTTTGTTGCACAACGATCCTTCCTGCGCGGACGCATGTAACTCGATAGTCGCGGGAGGACTGCGCGACATTGCATTGTAACAAACAGCTATAATAAACATTTCTATGCACTCATAAACGACTTAATTGTTATACAGTTTCAAGAAAAGTGGTGACATCATCTACTATGGTTTCTTCGTCTGAAGTTTCATTTAAATTACATCCTGAATTTTGTACCTATGACCGAGTACCCAGATCGGAATATAATACAAAATATTTCCTCAACTTGTAAAATACATACATAAAATGATAGTGAGATTGCATCACTATGGTTAATGAATGACAAACTTTAAAAGTGCAAAAAGCTGGGATAAAAAAGGCCTTCCTCTTTGTATTGTAGAGATAAAGTTCCTATGATTCATGTTTCGCCGTAATAAGCCTTCAAGTACGTCACCGTTCAATTATTAGGTTGCGGTAACTAATAATATTGACGTAGGAACTAACCAAGCGTCATTTTTAATATCCCATAAAACGCCGCATAATTTCCGTTCTGTCCACTTATTTCATTTCTAATCGCACAAGAATTAAATAACTTCTTATCCTAATGTAACCATGCTGTTGCTATAAAATATTATCCAAGCAAGATTTATATTGAACTGCAATAAAATTCTAATTTTAATGCATCTTCGACATTTATTAGTGAAACTACTTTCATATTTCAAAGGAGTTAACACTGCATACGTAATGCTATATTATCGACCATTATAATATAATATCTTATCAGATTGTATTATTACATCTTGATTGGCCATTTGAGTGTCAAGTTTAAAATTGATGACATTGAAATATGTATGAATCGAAATTATTGACACGTCACGAGAATCATCAGAATACAAGTGTCGATCTTGACCTATTGTACAAAAAATATTCCAGCGATCTATGAATTCGGTAACATTAAAATATGCAGAATCTTCAATTCCACTGTCAAATCAAGGTCACGCGATCGGTATAAACCGCGTTGGCAGTATTATTACGAAGTCGCATAAATTGCAAAACTCAATATTGGGACGACTATAAAATTTATGGTTTTCGACGGTCAAGCTTTGTTCGCGCGTGAGAAATACTCGAGGCATTGAACGAGCGATGCCGCGATGCTTTAAATTCACCGGAGACTTCCCTGGGTAACGACCCCTACGCCTACTTACGGTTTAATTCGAGTGCTCCTCCCCAACACTCCAATTTAGATTCACGAGATATGATCCCCGCCACGTGTGTAAGCCCACAATCACAACCGCAATAAAAAGGAAATTCGCCGTTAATTTTTCTCACACAGAAACAAAACAGTCAAGGTAAAATAATGCGCAGTAATCTCCGAGCAAAAAGCAATGGATTTTTTACCTTTACCTTGATTGAGCCGTATCGTTTTCTTTAACTAGAAATTTTGTTTACGTCATTCGCATATTTTAAACTGATACACAACATTACAACAATTGTTGCGACACGTGCAAATTCCTTGTCCGATATAAACGCAGCTGAATCTGAACTGCATCACGTAGCAATTAAATGTAATCTTAATGAATTCTCTTTTAATGACTTGGATCGATGGGTGAATATAATGGCGCTCGCAAACGTTTCATCATGCATCAGTTATGGGAAGCGAAGATTCCATAGCTATGCGCATACTAAGCGTGATAGTGAAATATTCCAATTTCTTATGTAATTAAAAGAATAACATGTTAAAAAAATTTGGCGTTCCAGTTTCGCGACCGTCCAAGCGAACGACCAAGGCTAAGAAGGCCCCACTTTCGTTACGGACGTTGCGTACAATACGCAACATTCGCGCGACGAAAACTCTATTGTTGTTTGTCTGTTAATAGTTTCCACGTTTTTTGGACTTTTACGTACAAGAATCTAAAAATTGTCCGTTGAAAGCTTAAATGTAAACAGACAAAATACTTAGAGCACCAAACATATACCAAAAAATAAACGTCACTTATATAAATAGCAATGACCTTATCCAGTTCGATAAAATAAAACAAAAACCACCAATTTAAGTGGTTATTTATTTTGACAACAGTAACCAGTATCTGCTTTTCCTTTAGTAATAGGTATCCTTAGTTGTGTCACCGTCTCGTATTGGTTGCAACACAGCCGCATTTATCAAACATGTGCGGGATTCTCCGACGCCTATAAAGGTAAATATTACATAATTGACGCAATAGACACCGGTGTTACTCAATAACTGCGATGGTATCGTTCTTAATTGAATTTTATCTATCTTTGTTTACTCGCTTCTGATCACTTGACATTGTTTTTTTTATGGTTTCGAAATAAAAGAATTAAAAAAACAGAAAAACTAAAACTCTAATCCATGTTTGTTCATTATAAAACAATTAATATAATAGAAAAAATAAAAATATTATCCTTTTATTATTTAAGAATTATAAAAAAGCAGTCTGTGTCATACAGTGTCGCTTGTAACGAAGAAATTGCTCAAGCATTGTCGATCGTCGATCGTCATAATTTTTGATCTATCTTTTTTCTCTCACTTCAAATTAAAAAAAACAGGTACAATCCTCATTCCTTGATTTAGAAATAATTATTATTGTCTTACTTTAAAATATTAAAAAAAAACCATTTGTGAATGTTGTACCATTTTTTGTAGCTTTAAAATTCAATTGCCCAAGCATCAGCCTGTATCAGTTTCATTAGGATTGCAGAGACAGTCAAAATCGTTAGCTCCTCAAAGCGGATAGCATAGGTTATGTAATTAGTAACTAATTTACGATATACCACAAGAGTGATTAACTAATTAAAAACTGAAGCCAATATTTGTTTTATCGAGAAGTACGCCAATTAAGTAACATATATAAAAAACCACAGAAATTGTTTATGTCAAGGGTCCAAAATTGAATAACAGTACATATTAGTAAAAATATTCATTGCTCGATCGCTATGATATGTGAAAATATTATTTTGTGTTACCGTTTCTATAATTTTTTTTATTAATTTCAGAACCTCCACTATCTTGGTCAAGCATTACTGAAATTAAAAAAGATTTTAAACATACTGATATCACCATTTCTTTGAGCAAATGTTAGGATACGTCACGTCTAAAATAATATTGTAATCAACACATTTTGTTATAAGTAAAGTAAATAAAATATTAATTCGAGACAATGAACTTCAATATTTATTGTTCACCATGTGTTTAATGTTCTTTATAAAGTGATTTATTATTTGTTAAGCGATGAAAACATAATACATCTCAATTCGATTCGAGCAATTTTATTTTGCAATCTCGTACTCACAGGATCATTAGCAGATCTTGATTGTTTCTTAAATTAAATTGTTAATTATCTTCAGTATTAGAAGTACTTATCCGGAACTAATTATGTTTTTGCTCATCTGGGCTCTTAAAAACGTTGTAGAATATTTTCGCATTCATTGCTGTCATAATTAATTAATAGTATTGTTTGCAAATGTTTATATGTACTTTTCCTTTAGCTTCACTCGCACTTACCCCAGATTTCATCGCGTTACTCATCACCAGACACGATCTCTACTTCTTTTGTTCCTTTTTACAAGTCTGCCAGTACAGCCACCATATTGACAACAATAGTGAAATTTCTGAAATGCAAATCACACTTGTATGTATAATATTTGCATATCTAACACCTACCAACTATTTTGCAACGTTCGATTATACACGTGGAACTTATATTTATTTTTAAGAGCTTTTTAATTGTATAGGTATAATCATCTCTTTCTAGACACCCAATCAGTCAAGATAATTTACCGCGTGTATTGTTCGGAACTAAAAAATAACAATTCAATCGTTATGTAAAAAACTCGTTAGCGTGCTCACCTGATTCATGTAATATTATGTGATCTGTTTGCCGTTGATTGATGTGAAGAAAATAATAGCTTCGGAAAAATGTTCAATAAAACAGACAACGAATGTGCGACTAGCGGTCCATTACGCGAGTAATATCCACTGAGCTACTGGGTGCTTTGCATTGACATGAGAACTGGGGTGAATAATCCTAAGACATACCTACTTAGTCATTTCAGTTTAGTTTATAACTTTTTATATCTAGTCAAAATATTTTATTTCTATAACTCTAGTCTCACTTCATTCTTGTTAACTCAAAACATTACTAAATATTGGATTATGAGACGTTCATTAGTTCTATTTTCCATGAACTTATTATCTAAGCGACCTAAAAAATTTTGGCACCAGACTGCTGATTCAAATTTCGTTTAATGCATAGGCAGGCATACTTACATATTCGTGCATTCATGTTATGTTACGTAGCAATCTTTATTGCATATTCCACGAGATCTTAAGATAGACCTACATCTACAGCGCTGGGGCATTGCGCTTTAGTTTAGCAATGTCTCAATGAGCGTGCGGTTTCAGTGC